CTGGTCTCTGGAGGCCGCCTGGGCGCCCTGGTCTCTCTTTCCACCTCCAGGGAGGTGTGTTTGAACCTGTCTGAGCCAATAGACTCCACGAGCCACAGGGTGCTCCCCGAGCAGGGCGTCTGCCAAGGCAAGGAAGCAGTCTCAGAGGTCGGGTGACACCGCGCCTTCAGACGGGCCCACGGTTCATCCCCAGCTCCAACCAGTGGAATCGCTCTGCTCCTAAAGCCACGAAGACAGCGCAGGAAAGGAAACGCACACCCGACCGTCCCCCAGGAAACACGGGCCGCGCGCTGCACACTGCGTCACCACACTGACGACCAAACACGTCTGCGCCTGGCAGTCTTCCGCGTCAGCACCCTGCGGGGGACAGGGACCAGGCCCGTCCAGCCTGCAGCTGTGAGTTCCCTGGGAGGTGTCAGGCTGACTGCAGGCCACGCTTGCGATCCCGGCCACTGGGGGGCTGCGGCAGGATGGCGCCCTCAAGGCCAGTCTGCGCCACGCCTCAAGGCTCCGTCTCAAAATCAAAATACCAAGGCGTGAGGGGGTGGCTCAGTGATGGAGCACCCTGGGTTCCGTCCCCAGCACTGCGGGGGACGTGAGGCTGATTTCATTGAGGGCGCCGCAGCACGGGGACCGCCCCAGGTCGGGTGATGGAGGGAATGGCCTCAACTCCACGGTGACGATTCTGTTTGAAGACACTCTCAGCCGCCAGGCTCAGAGGTGATGCAGGAGGATCAAGGCCCGCCTGGGCACCTTAGCCAGGCGCTGTCTCCACGCGCAATGGAAAGGGCTGGCGGGGGGCCTCCTGGGCTCCATCCCCAGCACAGAGCAGTAAAAAGGCTCAGAGGGGATTTTCTTAAAATGGTCAAGAGCATCTGCCAGCGCTTCCCGCACCCACCACGTGGGGTGCCATCGAGGTTGAAGCAGAGCGGGGGCTGAAACCTGTGTGTGCAGATGGAGCCCAGTGCCGGGCAGAGCTGCTGGGGAGGCCCAGGGCGGCTGTCCAGGTGGGTGGGCTCTGGTGGGTAGGAACTCACTGCTGCGCACCAGGGCGGGCCCCTGAGGCCTGGGAAGCACGTTCTCAGCCTCTACCTTCCCCTGCTTGCGCCCCATCCCACCTGAGCTGAGCTAGAAGCTCAAGGGGCATCATGTGTGAGAGGTCACACTACCCAATGGTGGACACAGCTGCCCAAGGTCAGAGGCTGGACAAGTCCCTCACCTTCTGGCTAATGGCCAGACCATGGCCCTGGGCAGGACTGGCTGCCACCATGCTCTGAGCCCGGCAGGGCCCACCACGGTCGCTGACCCAGGCCTGCGGTGCACCCGGAGTGGGGAGCCAGGTGCTGGCCAGGCTGGAGTGGACGAGATGGTGATTTTCATAAGGTTGGAGGCAGAACAAGGGGACCTCAGTCTGCAGCTGAGGTCGGGCCCAGAGGGTTCCTAGAGGCAGGAGCCCACGATCGTCCTGGACAGTGTCCAGCACTGGAGTGCTGGTCGAGGCGGTCCCAGCGCCAGCAGGTCTCGGCCTCCTGTAAACGGTGGTGTTGTTTGCAAGGGACGCCTTGTGGCACATAGAGATCCAGAAGGGGCGGCTCCAGGCCCTCCGAAAGTCCCACCACGAGGAGGCAGAGGCCAGGGGCAGGAGCGTCCAGGTGCACGAGGCCCAGCAGCTCTTCAAGGAGAAGGAAGCCTTGGAGAAGGCGGACAAGAACCAGCAGCTGAGGGTCCGGTGAGCCGCCCCAGCCCCCGCCCCAGAGTGCCTGCCTGGCTCCTGCCCACCCCTCTGCCCTCTGCACCAGGGCTTGCCAAGTTCCCCTCTCTGCCCACCTCTCTGTGTCTGTCCCCCTGGCCCAGCCCAGGCTCCCTGCCCCTGAAATGCTCCCAGCCTCAGTAACAGTGACCGCTGTCACTGAGACCTGCAAGCTCTTCCTCCTGCCCACTTCCTCCTCCTCCTCAGCCAGGTTGCTCTCTGCATCCCCAACCAGTGCTCCTGCCCAGTCCCAGGAGCAGTCCCTGGGTCTCCTGCTCAGCCACCTACCAGACTGACCCCAGGGATTCAGGGCAGTTGGATCTCCTCCCTCCCCAACCTGGAAGCAGGCCTCTCCTCTGGAGCCCCAAACTCCAGCCTCCTCTGCACAACTGGCCTCCACCTTCATCCAGCTGCCAGGCCAGGACCAGGGTCCCCCTGACCCCTACCACTCCCCACCAGCTGGTGGCCAGATCTGCTCCTTCCTGTGGACCCAGGGTCCTGCCACCTCCGTCTCCCATGTCCCCCCCATCTCTTCCTCCCCTGTGACAGCATTGCTGCTGGTCCCTTCCCCTCCCACACCCCTGCCCACCCTGAGCCAGACCCTGCTGTTGCAGGGCTCCTTGAACCAGAGCCCCCATAGCATCTCACTGAACACCATCGCCTGTGGTGCCAGCCTGCCCGGTGCCCCCTCCCAGCTGGCCAGAGCTGTGTGGGGCGGCACAGAGCGCAGGGACTGGGCAGGCCGCTCCCACAGTGATCAAGCCCCGAGGGCTGAATGCTGGGCCCACGCTTCTGCAGGAAGTCCTTGCAAGTGCAGAAGGGGCTGGGACTCCGACACCGGACGCTGGTGGAAGAGGCCCAGAGGAACCACAAGGTGGCCGTCAAGTTCCTGAAGGCCTCCCTGGGACGGTGCGTCCCCACCCCCAGGACCGTCCTGTGGGCACCCCGCGGCGTCACCACCTGATCACCCAAACCGCAGAGCTGCCCCCCCC